TATCTGATAATGATGCTACAAATATACAAACAATTAAGCAATACTTGTGAACGTACAAAACAGTCAAATGAGCAAACATACATATATTCAAAATATATAATTGCTAATATGATAGTATTATAATCAACAATTTTTACCAACCTTTGCCAATCTTCACCAATCTTCACCAATTCTTGTCAACCCAATATAATTATTCTCTTTTATGTAAACAAGTTTCTATATTATGGCCTGGCTCCTTACAAAATTTACAAGTGTATTGTCCACGTTTTTTCTTATTGCCTGTTTCTTGTAATGTAGTATTTGTAGTATTTTTGTGACTTGCAGCTTTTGACCTTCCTTTACCAACCACCTTTTGAGGATTCACAAGTGGTTGCCTTCAATATTAGATAAAGTATATGTCAAAGTTCCCTGTTGTTTAATCAATTCATCTTCTCTAATATGAATACTGCTCAAATAATCTTTGATTAAACTAATGAATTCATGATCATGATGCAATATACACTTATTTATAGCAGTACGTGCAATACCCTAAACTTTCCCATAAAAAAGCATCTCATTAATAAACACTTCGTTTGTGATTTCACCTGACTCATCATTAACAAATGGTTGTAACCACTTAAATTGACATTTGTTGTTTTCTGATGTAATATCTATATCAGTAATAGCGTTACTAAATTGTTAATCCAAACATGTACACTCTTTTGCGGCGTTTAATTATTGGTCCCTTGGAATCCAACATTGTGCAATGAGCTGAAGATTAAAGTGTGCTTTTTTAGTAATATTTAGCAAATGGAAAAAATGCTGACAAACGAGACCTTTTTTTTGCTGTAAAAGACATATACAACTATATGAACCATTAATAAGAAGAAATATAAAATGATTAATTTTACTACTTGTAACTCTTGACAATTTCCTGATTTCTTTAATTGTATTCTGTTCCAAATGATCCAGAAGATATTTAGCAGATAAATTAATAGCATCAGGTTCGTCATCCACGTCTTTACTTTGTGAAGGCTCATAAATGGTAAGTGACTCAACCTCTTCAATCGTAGAATGGCTAGCTGTATAATACAAACTTTCCTTCATTTGCTCTATTAAAAAATTAGAAACATTCAATCTCAAATATCATTT